ATTAGAGAAAATTTGAAAAGAAGAAAAACACTTTAAGTGGTTACTTTTAATTTTTTCTTTATAAATATAGATAATTCCTTTTCCTATTGCATATTGCATTATTGTAAATTTTTGTTGCAGAACCAATGCTTGAAGAGTCAGACGAATTCGAATGTGGTGAATTAGGTGAGTGATATTTATGTGTAATCGTATGTGGTTTGTAGTTCAAAAGAGTACAATTGAAAAATGGATTAGTATATTTGAAATTGATTTTCTTCACCTAAGAAGTTTCTTCTTATCAAATAGATATTTTTACTTGATTATTACAGCTGTATTTGTCCTCCAATTACTTTATCTTTAATTGCATAATGAATGTTCTGTGCGTCGTAGTAAATCAATGAAGATAATTGGTGTGACAAAAAGCTGTAGTTAATTAAGTTAAGAGAAGTAAGACGATGACGTTCGTCTTTGATAAAGGCTAATTTGTTCCAGGATACTTCATTCACGTGAATAATGCTATTATATTATTATAAGTAACTGAAATTACGTATAAGACGTTAGAAAGAAAAGTTAAACAATGCTTTGTTGTGGAGAGAGTGGAGAGATACTATTCTATTGGAAAAGAATTTTAATAAATATTATTTTGATAGTGAAAAGTTTTGATAAATATTGTTCTGTCGGAAAAGAATTTTAATAAATATTATTTTGATAGTGAAAAGTTTTGATAAATATTGTTCTGTCGGAAAAGAATTTTAATAAATATTATTTTGATAGTGAAAAGTTTTGATAAATATTGTTCTGTCGGAAAAGAATTTTAATAAATATTATTTTGATAGTGAAAAGTTTTGATAAATATTGTTCTGTCGGAAAAGAATTTTAATAAATATTATTTTGATAGTGAAAAGTTTTGATAAATATTGTTCTGTCGGAAAAGAATTTTAATAAATATTATTTTGATAGTGAAAAGTTTTGATAAATATTGTTCTGTCGGAAAAGAATTTTAATAAATATTATTTTGATAGTGAAAAGTTTTGATAAATATTGTTCTGTCGGAAAAGAATTTTAATAAATATTATTTTGATAGTGAAAAGTTTTGATAAATATTGTTCTGTCGGAAAAGAATTTTAATAAATATTATTTTGATAGTGAAAAGTTTTGATGGATATTATTCTATTAGTAAAAAAGTTTAATATTCATAACGAAGGCGTGACAGATCATTTAACATGTATGTATTACGGAATACATATATGCATTCGGGAAGTTTAAATCAATTTCTTCATGCATCGTTAACTCAAACATGATGCATTACTTCCATCTACCGTCGACATAATTTTTTAACAAGTTCCTAATGTGTGCACAATCCGTTAATAAATTTTATTTTATAGTCTGCGTGGACGTCTATTAATCTATTTTATTGATAAGAGTTCCTCACAGATTTTCTGGGTTACTTTAAAAGATTTAAACTGCAAGAGACAGTTTTACATGAAAAAGATATTTAAAAAATGTTGTTTATTATCAATTTGAAAAATGTGTCACGCCAATTAATTACTATATCAGTTAATCAATCTTTAAGTACTAAATTCATTCAATAATAAACGAACTAGCTAACACGTTACCCAGATTATCCAAAAATTGAAGAAGTTACTTTTAAAATTGAACATTCTACGGTGTTTCGAGAGATTTGATAATCATAGTCGAACCTTAAACGAACGTTCAAACGAAGAAAATTTTCCAAAAATCATTTCGTACGTTATTAATCGATAAAACAAAAATTCATTGTTGAAAAATAAATATTTCCTGAAAATCTTCATCTTCCATACAAGATTCAAGATTTTCCCTAACTAAGAGTAATTTCAAAAGATCTAGGGATGAAGCTGTTATTTCAATACGCGATGCACTGACTCTAGTATTTACTAAAATTCAAAGATTCTGGCATAAATTCGGAAAATAGATTATTAATTACGGTAAACTACTGAGACGGTTTAATTTAGGGTGGGCATAAATGTAGTATAAATGCACGAGTTCCAAATCAGCTCACAATATACAATAATAAATCAACTAACTACTTAACATACAATTCATGCAAATTCGTTGGATGGTAAATTATTAGTAAACAAAATTCAATATCAGAGAAAATATATGAAAAATACTGAAAGAAAAATTTCAAATCAATTTCAATTGCTCAAAGTCATTTCAATATCCTATTCGACAAGTCTGAAGAACAACAAATGACTAAAATTCAAATGTTTATTTCCCTAAACATCCAAAATAATTTCGAAATATTTTATTCGAAGCGGAGTATTCCAAGTCAGTATCGATAATTGAAGAAATTATTTGATTGTATTTAAAAGAACCGAAAGGAGAATATTTAAAGTCTGATATTAAATGTCTAGCAAGTACCAGTAATTGGTAAAATGATTTATATTTGTTTTAAAAGGAAAATTTCTAATAGGTATTAGTTAAAATGAATTGTTATTCAGTCTATTGTATTGAAATTCTAATTGATTCTAATGTATACAAGTGTTACAAGAAGGCTGAGTGTGTACAGGAATTCGCGTTTTTTCTTTTGATTCTTTCAATTTTTCAATTGCATTACGCATTATTGCAATAATTTCTATCGTTACATTTGTATGTATTCAACGTTTGTTTGTTTTAGTGTCGTGAAATGAATTATATTACACATTTTCTCTATTCACACTGAATTTAAAGATTATAACGATTAAAAATCAAGTTGACCTGTGGTCATTTATCAAGAATAATCATAATAAAGCTGAAATTATTGTGTTAAATAATTTTTTTAATACGAATTAGGAATTTATTCAACGTTTGCTTGTTAGAATAGAACGATAAATTTAGTGTAAATATAGAAAACGTATAATATAATTTATTTCATGGTATTGTAACAAGCAAACGTTGAATAAATTCCTAATTCGTATTAAAAAAATTATTTAACACAATAATTTCAGCTTTATTATGATTATTCTTGATAAATGACCACAGGTCAACTTGATTTTTAATCGTTATAATCTTTAAATTCAGTGTGAATAGAGAAAATGTGTAATATAATTTATTTCATGGTATTGTAACAAGCAAACGTTGAATACATTTTTCATTCGTGTAAGAAGAATTATTTAACACGATAAATTTAGCTGTACTATGGTTATTTTTAATCTACGACCACAGGTCAACCTGATTTTTAATCCCTACGAAATTAATTTAACCACGAGTAAGTAACGAGAACGCTAAAACCTATGTTTCCATTGAAGAATATTGTAAAAACGTATAAATTGTTATATGCAATGTTATAACAAATTGTCGGAAGTATAAATTTTTAATAAAATTGTGAAAATTGATAAATTATACCGTGTTACGATATCGGAAATCTCCCGCGAAAATCTCCCGCGAAAATTTCCCGCCTGACCTAACCGACGATTTTGCTAATGACTTTGGGGAGAGGGTACCGCAGGTATATAAGGACCCGCCGATGTCCCGCGAAATCATTTACCCTTTATACTGGGCCCTAGACACTTCGCGGCGTATTTTGACCTGAAGGTTCTGAGATGTGAATAGAGTGGTCGGGGGCTACTAGCTAGTCTATGTCCACCCTGTACACACTCAGCCTTCTTGTAACACTTGTATAC